TTTTTTTTTTTTTTTTTTTTTTTTATGATTTTGGCGCGGTTTCATATTGATTTTGCACAAGATCAGTTCTGATCAGTCCAAAATAATCTGTTCAATGGTCCAGAGCTGAACTTTACTAGCATAATGGTGTGTGTCGACATTAAACTTGTACAATACAAATTCGTTGCTACTGCTACTGGATTTCAATTGGGCGGAAACTACGCGATTCGTAGGGCCTAGGCGTGACATGAAATCCCTGTTAAAAACGTTAATAAAATTCGGGCTGGTCGATGTTTCGGAATTCATTGGCACAGAATCACTAACCTACGTAAATCAGAGGTTGGTGTTTGTTGATTTTCCTGCTGCGATATACTGATAATCTATTTGGTTTTATTTTAATGTATTTTATGAATATTGGTCAACAAGATAGTCGAAGATAGCTGTTGAAATGACGTATAAAATTAATATGAGGACAAATTATTTTTAGGGTACATAAAATGAAATACACGAAAAAAAAAGATAGACAAAAAGGTAAAATATCATGAAATAATTTCGACCACTTAGACTCATATTTTCCATGTTTTATCAGATAATATTTAATTGTACATTAAAATAATTCACTTGACATTGAAAGCTTTTTCCATCAGGCAATAATCATAATGTTCAATTTATTACTGTGAAAAAAATGTGAAGGAAGGACGACGTGGACGGCGAATATTCTAAAAAGCCAAGAGGAGATGTTTAATTGATAACAGCAGATTTAATTTCGCCGTAATGTTAATTTTTATGATTTTTAATTACATCAAACTTTACAAAAAATCTACGGCAGAGATTGATGCGTGAAGTTAGGTAGAAGCTTTTTAAAATATAGACAATGTTCGCCTGAACGTATAGTAAGTAGACTATACATAACTTGGAAGCACCAAAATTCTCATAAAGCTTGTATATTTTACGTGATCTTCAGTAATTTGCAGTATATGGATATCTATTGCTCATGTTAATAAAGCCAAAAGTACCGCAAAGAATTTCCGGCCTCAAAAATTCAGGAAATGCTTTACGGAGAGTCCGGAAAAGTACGAGAAAGTGCCGCTGCATTGCGCGAATGGAATGAAGGATGGACGCCAGAAGGACGCGTCAGTGAGTGGAAAAGCCCTAGACGGGAATTAATGTCATGAAACTCGAACTTCGTTCCGTCCAAGTTTCCAGTTTAAGGATATAGGAGCGCTAGGCTTGGCATTAGATTAAATTCTAAACATTTTTAATTTTGTAGCCGAGATTTTATATATTGTGCCTATCAAATTTCAAGGTCCTTTATCGGCCTTCGGAACGAGATATTAATTGAGAAAGTTGATAAATTTCACAAGGGGTTCACAACGCTCATACAACGAAGCTGAAATTTTTGTAGAAAGTCAAAAGTCAGTACGTGTCAAAAATAGATTCTGTCGAGACGAAAAGTTGGGCAAGTACATGAATTAAATATAATAAATTCCAAAGATACCGTGAAACGGTTAATGGGCTATTTCATTACAAATTATTCGGTCAAAGTCAACGTACTTCACCGAAACGCGTCGGTATCGTAGCGTCACAGAATATTTGGGAACGTTACGCAAATATAAATTGAGCATCTACGAAAACGCTAGGCTGCCAAGACTGATTACCCTTCTTCGTGTACCGTCCAGTCAAGTTAGCATTCCAGAATGGGTATGCACCCATAAAGAGGTTACATTAATTTTATTCCCGATTTTAGAAAAATTATTTTTATAGTTTAAAATAACATTGAAGTATATATATGAGTGCTGTCAGCGCTGTCACTTACAATTTTCAATTTGTGATACGGTATTGACTAGTAGCACGCGACGTTCCTATATCGATAAATGAAAGTTCGCAAAATAAGTTGGCAAAACAAAGAAGTCTACAATATACAACATCGTGCACACAACGTATAACGCGTATACATATAGTAATACGAAAACATTCATATACCATGTGTTCTAAACAGTATAGCAGTTTTTAATATATACAAGCGATTGCTTATAAATAATAATAATTTATATATGGCTTTGTTTCTTACTTTGAAAAAAATTTCAAAACTTCCTTCTAATAACATAACCGTATATGTATAGTACTAGACTATATAATAACATTGTACAATACTTTAGACTTTGACCGTTGTACAATATGAAGTTCTTTAAAATAATATTACTTTTGTATAACTTATATGGTTTCACCATTGTCGTTTATCATATTTATTTATACATATACGTAATTTTATGCAAAAGAGTTAGAAACGACTGAAGAAAGATTCCTTGAAGAAATGCATCTTCGTTAAAAAAAAATTCTTAACTTTTCTCAAAATTTCGGAACAAAAATCAATATTCTTAATTTTAATTCATAAGGGTAAAAAAAATTGTCGCGATATATTTTCTTCCTTCATTTTATCGCAACTAATTTCATAAATGTATATTTGAAAGATGGCCAAACGGGACCGGGCTAACCCTAAATGTCTGAAAGGTAATATGTGGATAATGCACCCGTTTAAATGCATACTAGTCAGGCATTCCTTCACTTTCCTAAGCCAAGTGCTCGGGTCGACTACTCGACTTTTATAAAGACGTTAAAATTCCCCGAGCAACGACGGAAACCCGATAATCTTGTCTCCGCTGAAATTGCACGGAGATTGTTGCAAT